ACTATTGCATATTTTTATAAGACTAGAATCATACAGTTCTCCCAATACAAGACATATACCTAATACTTGTTTCATATTGAGGAGTTCAAAAAGAAAAATTCTGAGCAAAAGAAAAAACAAAAGATAAACAACAAAGCATGCAAACAAGAAATCTATAAAATTTAGGTGAGGAATTCTTGCAATTGCTAGAAAATGAAAAGAAATTACCTCGTTAGGGCAAGAATTGGAACCCTAGCTTCGATTGGAACCCTAATTGACGACAGGACAAATATCTCGAGAGTTGAGAGAGCGAACAAGATGAAGGCTCCGAATGGCAGAACAGGATGAGTGTACGGCGTCAGGCGGGACAAGCCTACGAACGGCAGAACGGGATGAAGAGATAGGAGGTTACGAATGTGATGAAGGTCGAAGAAGTGGCTAACCCATTCTAAAATGAGGTGAAGTTGAGGATATTGAAGAAAATAATGAAATGGAGTAGGATTTGACATTTTATATAAGAGTTATTTGAGAAGCATTTAGAAATATAAGGACCAAAATTAAAATACTGAGTAGGTAATTTGAGAAGAATTTAGAGAGATAAGGGCCAAAAGTAAAATACTAGTAGGTTGATTTGAGATGCATCTTGAAATATGAGGGGCAAAATTAAAATAGTAAATTACCAATTAAATTATTCAACAATTTAAAAAGTTAAAAGTCTAAAATAGTATTGAATAAAAATAATATTTTTTTTTTTAAATATGATGATATTTCTATGAATATAATATTTTTTTTTAAATATGATGATATTTCTATGAATCTTTAACTATCTTATTATCATATATTGTTAAATTTTATGCAAATGTTAAATAACTATCTACAAAATAAAACACAAGATAATATACTATATGGATTATGGCATATGAATATTAAATTATAAATTTATGAATAGAAAGAATAATATCATTAAATATGAAAATATTCATGATACTTTAATTAAATAACTATGTTTAGTCATGTATCAATAAATTTAAACTTATAAAAATGTCAAAATAAATATTTACAAAAGAAAGTATTAGATGGAATACTATATTACATATAGATTTATGAATAAAATGAATCACCCCTATATATAATTATATATAATTACTGAGCCTAAGTGGTCAGCTCCCACGCTTCGGAATCCTACGTGGCACAAAATCATGCTTCCGAGACAGGCTTTGACATAAATAAATATTTCTTATACAAAAATAATTTTTCTTGGATTTCTTTAATGTCTATATTATTCATATTGAATCCATGATTGATTTTTCCCTTATTATTCTTCTACAATTAGTTGCAATATACTATTTTACGTTTCCTTTTCATACATTACCGTATATTACATTTCATGTTCTTATTTAATTGATACATCAATTAATTGATATATATCCTTGTCATGAAGATTTAAATTCATTTATCAAATTGAATTAAAAAATATCAAATAAACTATAAATTATTTTCTAAGATGATAACAATTATGTATATTAACATACCATAAAATACTTAATTTATTTATTTCATTATAAGAATTTCAATCTTTTTTACTTTTTCTTGGATAATTAGTTCTTCTACGAAACACCGTTGTTCACGAGCATTGTAGTAGTATCATTAAATATGAGATATCCATGAATCTTTAACTATATTAGCATATATTTTTGAATTTACACATGTATTAACAAAATTATGTACAGAAGACATCATGCGGCATATTTTAAACGTAGCTCTGAATTTTTTTTTATTAATACATGTATAATACCAAAATGCAAAAGGCATTGAACCTTAGCCGATTCGAGCAGTGGGTGTCGTAATAGTATTATTAGATTGATAGATATTGTGCTAAAATAGATATGCATTCACATTTGTAAATTAAAAATACTCATTAAATAATATTTATAAAATGGAACCAATATGTAATACAATTTACCTATATTAGTTTATTTCAAATGTTCTATAAAAATTAAATTGCGCAAAATTACATATACATGTCTATTTAAAATTAGTATACAACACGTACGGTGCTTATAACTAATCATAAATTACATTATATCCATTTCAAATAAGTGTCATTTTAAAAATTGTATTTATAAACTCGAATTGAATACAATGTACTCCCATAACATAATTATTTTGGTATAATTATATCATATATTTAAAAATATATGAGAATAATACGCGCAATCTTAAAATCTATATTGTTTCATTAATTAAAATAAATTTATTTTTGTATTAGCTATCCAAATCATATAAATTAATTACTTGAGTAATATATTAGACTATAAATAATAACTATTCTATTTACGTCCAAGTTAACATTGACCAGTAAGTTATGAATAATTACTTATTTGCATTTTAAATTTGGACCCAATTTTTGATTACACGATAACTCCCCTTATATATATTTTAATATATCTCTATCATTCAAATTTATTAACTAATTTTCTAGAACTAAATTATAAATGTTAAATTTTATTAATAAATACTTGTTCAAAGATATTTCTAATTTTCAAGAGGAATATACCAATTTGTCCAATTATCATCAATATCTTATGGTCAAATTAATATGGAAAATATGCTAGAATTTGAGTATCACATCACATTGATTTTATAACAAATCAACATAAAATTCAACTTGAATACTCATACCTAATGAGATTTACACCACCTTATTTTATTTATAAAATTTTGAAATGCAATTCTATGATCTATCCATACCAAATGAAATCATACCATTTAAATTCAGACATTTCATTTCAATATAAAATCATTATATTTTTATTAATCATAATACGCAACAATTATTTTATTCTAAAATCTATTGTCATATAATATGTATTAAGATAATTTTTTAAATTAACCACCAAATTTTATTATATACTAATAT